TCTGCATGCATTGCAGTAGTTTTCTGCTTTAGGGGGAAATTGCTGCTTGGTTGACTTTTTATGCTCTTCTTCTCCTTCTATAAGTAAAACAGATATGATAAGATTGGTCTCCACAGCTTTTGTTCATGTTCTGTTCAACTTGTTTCCCATTAGAGAGCATTTATGCAACCCATTACTAGGTTTTTCCATACCCTGCTTGCAATCTTTTGATGCTCACAAAAGGATCTTGAGTGTAGAAGTGCAGAGTGGTACAGTGGACCTGGAGAGGGGCTTGACAGAGCCATATACCCCAGAGAGCCTCCAAAGAGTGTTCTTGAGAATCCATGCTATAGGACTGTAGACAGGAACCGTATATATCCCCCTCCCCACCCCAAAACCATTGGCTAAACATTATTGTGGCAATTGGACCTGGTTAACCACTGCTCACATTGAGAATTCTCTGCTTCTCTACTATGATTACTTATTCTATTTATTTGTCACTTTTTATACCCAAGCGTCTCAATGCAACTTATGCAGTAAAGACAGAAATAACAAAACAACTACCTCCATTAAAATGAAATGCAACAACAGCAATAAAGCAATTTCTTCATTGGTTTAGTCCAAGAATCATTCAAGAAGCAAACAAATCCTATTCACCTCAATGAAAAGGATGCGTGAAAAAATGGGGTTACTAACTAGTTACCTTTCCAATTAAGTACCACAGCCCTGGGAAAATGAAAATATTCCTGCCTGGCACTTAAAAACAGACGATGGCGCCAGGTTTAGCTTGCTGGGCCTCCAGGCTATGATCAGTATGCGTCTTTTGTTTTTATGAGAGTGTACCACAAGCAGGGAGCCACCACTAAGAAGTCCCGTTCTCACGTCCCGAGTTCCTATACCTGGTCAACTGAGAACCTGTCCTTGGGCCAGTTATTATCTGTACCTAACAAAGGGATCATGTGTCAGGCCAGACCTTGCCTCCAACCCCCCAAGACTGTAGCACTGGCAAATGCTGTTCTGGAAGATGGCATCATTGCTCTTGATGTGCACCAGAGCTATGCTTCCTCCTTCCTCCGCCTCTGTCCATGGGTGAAAAAAGACTACATGAACTGACACTGAAAAATCAGGAGCCTGTAGAAGCGTGTATTTTTCCAGAGATTTCAGGAGCTTGAAGTAATAGGCTTGAAAACTGCCAGGTGTGAGAGAGCCCTTGTTACTGTGTAAAGTCACTGAATAAGAGGAGTCAAAATGATGGAAGAAGCCAAAGGCAACAGTGCCAGCGTAAAAGCTGAATTGTTTACCTGATTATAGCTTTTTTAAAGGCAAAGGTTATTGCGCTGGATGAGGACAGGAGAAATTGCTTTCTAACAAACTCAAATATGTCTCCTTTCATTTCCACATGGCTCTCATTTTACAATTACAAAGCTACTTTCCCTTGCAAGCTGCCATTATAATGTAAGATTCTAATGTTTAGCTCCTTTGTAGAATATTATAATTACAGGACTTATAGGAGCTATTTCTGAAATACACTGAATTCTGTCATGGGCACTGGAAAACTGCAACCCGCAAAAGAGATATATTCCTTCAAATATTCTATAAAACAGTTTGTGGGCCCATTATTATTATTATTATTATTGTTATTGTTATTATTAACCTGTCAGCACAGAACCTTGTTTTCTAGAGACATGGGTGTACCATTTTCTGAGAATCGTATTATACCTAGTTTATACCTAGTTGAAACCTACTGGGTCAGTGAAATCTTAGTCATAATTCTTTTCACTGCTTTTCTATTTATTTCTGCCATCATCCCTTTATCTGGGCACCGTCCCCCGTTTTATTGATGTAATTCAATTCCCATCACTTTTGCCAAGAGGGCTGTTTTCAAAACTCTTAAATGCTCCAAATTTCTCCATCTGTTCTTTCTTTCTGTCCTTCTTCCTTCCTTCCTTTCCTTCTCTTTGCCTATCCCTTCTGTGCATTTCCAACACACAGCATCTGGTTTTACTTGGGTGTCCTTGGCAGGCTGTCTGCACCGCTCAGAAGGTTGGCTTCGGACCAAGCTAGGATCCACATCCTTCTAGATTGCAGCAGGGCCTTTCATGGTAAGAGTCGATGCAAGCATTTCTCTAAGTGTGGTCTTAAAGACTATCAGTGATGAACAGAAAACTTTCAGGAGGTTAGAGGAGAGAGCTTTGACAGTGAAAAGAATATCTGCATTTAAGCATTTAAGTTTCACACAGTCTAGCTCGAAACTTTAGCTGCATTATTGTGCCAGGTTTTCTTTGTGCTGAATATGACAATTCTGCTGCACTTTGCAGTGTTTTTATTATTTATTCTTGCTAAAAATTGTTAATTGTTAATTGTTAATTGTTATTGCATTTGTAATTTGTTATTGCTTTGTAATTATTATTGCATTTTTGTATCAATCCCCTTGAGCTTGGAATGGTGGTATTTTATTTTAATATTTATTTCCTCCCTCTCCTCCAAGAGGCTCAAGGCAGCACACGCCATTCACTCCCAATGTTATCCTTACAACAACCCTGTGAGGTAGGTTAGGCTGAGAGATGGTGATAGGCCCAAGGTCACCCGATAAGATTCATGACTGAGTGGGGATTTGAACCCTGCTCTCCCAAGTCCTACTCCAAGACTCTAACCACTACGCTACAGTGTAGCTTATTAAATAAATACTAACAAAATAACTGCTTTAAGTCTATTCTTAAATAGTTGTTCTCAGCATATCTAAGGCCTGTCAGGATGGCAGAATGTATAGAACTGCGCCGTATTAAAAGGTCATAACAACAGGCTGGGGAAAAAAATTAAGAAAACAAAAATTCTAATGTAATTTAATTGAGTCACCTTGTAATTCCTTTTATTTTTCTTGAAGATTTAGAGCAGACTCGCACTTACTACAAACCCAGCTCTAAATTCCCATTGAGTAAACATGCTTCACTAGGTTCACGCAGGTCATACCTATCAGCCTAAAACTACCTCACAATGTTCTTGTGTGATAAATGCTGAGTTCATTGCACCAGACCCAGGAAGCCAAGCAAAAGTGAATGGCTGTTTCTTACCCCTTCATTATTTTCTTCCCCGTGAAGGGACTCTTTCAACATCCAGGTATGCATCAGAGTTTGTTTTCTGTTTTCAGCTAGGTCACAGAATGTGACTTGGAGAAATTTCATATACCATACAGTCACACAACTTGTTTTCCCATATCTTTGGTAATGTGAATCCAATTATCTCCTTTTCTTTCTCCTGCACAGCTTAATCTAATAATAGTTTTGCAAAGACCCTGGGAAGAACACTGTACATTTTTCTTACAAGTTAGGCATTTACAGTGGAAGCAAAGATGATTGCTATGCTCTTTCCGAGGGTGTGGAAATCTAGTTATCAACCAGAGACATTTATTTGTTATATCTCAGATTTATACTCTACACCTTCCTCCAAGCACTCCTTTAAGTAGCATTAGAAACTTTGTTTTATTTTGCACATACTGTTGAATATGGTTTGTGATTCCTCCTCTCTAATGAATATTGGAAAACAAACCTGAAGTAATTTGATATTTTCAAGTTAATAAGATCAAGTTCCTTAGGAGATGCAAATACTGATTTTTGTTCTTTGTTACAAGACTGAAATGGGTTTGGGTCTCCCTGCTTCATTTCTCAGGTGTGCTTCAAAATATGGTGCAAGTATGGGGAAAACTGGGTCCTGTAAGTTAACAGAATGTGTGTGTGTGTGTGTGTGTTGGCTTTTCCAATGCAAAAATGGGTATATGATTAAGAGCATGCAGCAGACACAAGACCTGCTGCAGAATGCACCTACAATAAAACACCTGTCCAGAGGAGCCTCTTTATATCTCCTTAGGTCACCACATCCCCTCAAGTGGCCATATCATGAACAGGCCAAGGGGGGTGGGGTGGGGAGGAAGATAGCAAGGATCGGAAAAGCAAGGAGAACTGCAGAACCAAAAACAGAACTAAAGCTCAAGTCTAAAAAGAAATTGCATGCATTTTCCTGTGCTTTTTGAATCACTTCTTCCTCAAATAGGAGGAAGGACTTTCCAGCCTTCTCTTGCCACTTGTCCTCAATGGGCATTAGGTTATCCCAAACCCACATGCTTAAATAGGGTTGCCATACAAGGGTCGCTGTGTGTGTGGTTTTTTTTCCCCATTCTAAGTGCAGGCTTGTTTCTTCTGGAGACTGACTATGCAAGCCGTAGCAGCACACTAGGGTGATTGGTTTGACAAGAACCACACCTTGCTTTTTTTTAGACCTTCAGGAGAGAAGTGGAAAAGAGAGGTGCAGGGCAATAGCTCAGCGGTAGAGCATCTGCCTTACATTCAGAAGGTCCCCAGTTTGCGCCCCTCCATTTTTAAGCAGGGCTAGGAGAGACTCTTGTCTGAAACCCCAGAGAGAAGTAGACAATACTGAGCCAAATGGACCAATGCTCTGACTTTGTACAAGCCAGCTTCCTATGTGCCAATGATCCCAGAACAGTATCCCACCATTTTTTAACACTTTCATATTCTGGAATTCTAAAGCATTGCCATCCTGGCAAATGAATACAGTACATTGTCTTAAGCACAGGGGATGAACAGGAATCTGGCAATTGTACTGAGTTGGATCTTTGTGCCACAAACCCTCTAATTGCCAGACAATACTTGCAATAGAACTGTTTGTTCTGTTGCTTGCAGGATTATGTTACAGTGAAAACTGGAGAGAAGAAATCACATGGGTGGGTACCTGCTTGTCTATTGGTGGTGGCGAAGGCTCATTGGGACTGGTAGAATGGAAGCCAGGGAGGCCAGCAGTAGGGGGAGTCGGAGCCAACCACAGGCACAGGCAACTCATTCTGGGTTTGCTCCCATCTTCCTCCCGGTTGTGTTGTATAGGTATTAAGGAGGAGGAAGCTGACAACCAGTTTCTGGGCTGGATGTACACCCTTGTGCAAATTAATTGAAACAAACAATGTAGTTTATTGTACAAAACTCACATATACGTACATTAGTAACAGATATGACCTCCGCTATTTTTAAGCAGCATTTGAACATGGTTTTGCATGGAGTCTACTTGTTTCGAACAGTCACTGTTGATTTTCAGATCCTTGTACCACACTTGAATCAGTGCCTGAATGAGCTTCTCCATAGTCGTACAGTCTACAGCACGGAGGCGACTTTTGCATATAGCCCACAAATTCTCAATGGGATTTACGCCTGGGGAATTCCCTGGCCAATCAAGTACCTGTATTTGCTGCTCTGTCACGAATTTCTTCACTTTTGATGTGTGACAGGGGGCTAGGTCCTGCTGCAGTATCCCAGTACCGTCAGGATATCTCTTTTCCAGCTCTGGAATAACTCTCTTTTGTAGAACCTCAATATATTGTGGCGAGCGCATCATTCCTTCTATTGGCTGCAGGCTTCTGACACCATAATAATCAACTGACTTTTCGTGTTTGTTTTGAGTACAGGATTACGAGTAAGACAGAAAACATGCTTTGTTTCAATTAATTTGCACAAGGGTGTAAGTAAGAAGGCAGACCAGGTGGGGTTCACGGAAGGCAGGCAGAGACGGACTGGTGGGGCTGTGCCCATTCGCCTTAATGGACCAGACTCCAGTACAATCTTTCTAAGGCTGAGCCTGCTCCCCTTTATGGGAGTTCTTGTGTACATCCTACGTTTGGAAAAGGAAGGTGTTGCAGAAGCATGAAGACACTGCCAGAAACAAATGGCCTCCCTCTCTGCAACAAAACGTGCCTCCCACTTCAAAGCGCTGCCCTGAAAAATCTCCTAGAATGCTTTGGCCGTAGGGCTGGTCCTGATCCTTGATCACTTTTACGGCTGGAGCCATAAAGTGGCTGAATTAGAACAGAGAACATGTCCAAAGCTACAGACTTTAGAGCTTGGCAAAAAAAAGCTCCTTGGCTAGCCCCGTAACGTGCTTCAGAAGCATCCGTGTTCATCATTTCTTTACAATATCTGTATACCGTGTGATGTGCCAAATATTACATATCTGGCTGACCTGCAGTGGGAGACACATGTTTGACATTATATTAAAAGGTTTTGCGTGTGTGTGTTTTGTTTCTGCTTTGTTCTACCGCCATTGTGCTAACCAAGTCTCAAGCTGACATCCAAAGTAGTCAGAAGGGGTTGTTAAAAATAGCCCAGATTTATTTATTTTTAAAATGGATCATCCAAATCCCCATGCACGCAGGAGCCCAGCGCCCTTTGCTATAAAGGGATACACTGTGTGCATACCAACAGTGGAATGGGTGGTGGGTCAGAGCTGCCAAGCCACCCTCCGGACAGCAGCAGCATCACTGCTGATTACTTAGGGTGGGCTGTAAAACCAGGACCGTGTGGTTGCACTGATAACAGGGCTGGATTGGTGGTGGCACTCCTCCCACAGTAATGGCACTGCCCCAACCTTGCTGCTGCCCTGTCTCAGCCCTATCCAAATAAACAGCAGTGGCACTAGGGTTGGGAGGGTGGCTTCTGCCCACTGTGTAGACCACTGCTGCTGCTGCTGCTGCTGCTGCTGCTGCTGTAATAATAATAATAATACCCTGCCCATCTGGCTGGGTTTCCTCAGCCACTCTGGGTGGCTTACAGCATATATAAAAACATAGTAAAACATCAAGCATTAAAAACTTTCTGAAACAGGGCAGCCTGCAGTTGTCTTCTAAAAGTTGCATAGTTCTTTATCTCCTTGACATCTGGAGGGAGGGTGTTCCTTAGGAAGGGCGTCACCACCGAGAAGGCCCAAACAAAGGTTTACTGTTGCTGCTCCAAATTTCATCTTTGCTATAGAACAGGGCAAAATGGTAGCACACTGAGCACTGTTTATCCAGCCATCAATTTATCATTATTGTTTTGTTGGCACTTACAGTCTTGCCTGGATTTAGCAAGGAAAGGCAGAGCCTGCAACCCCTACTATCAGGGAAAGCTTCCAGTGTCATGAAAGTCCTGCTAAAGAATTCTCTGAACGTAGACTCCAAATTCCATAATTCATGACATTATGACATGGAAGGCTTAGAGGAGCCTTCAGTCAGGAAAGTAGGCAAGAACTTTACTCCCGCAGCAGAGAACAGAACGGCAACAGGAAACGACTGCCTCCACCCTGATACAGCAAAGACCAGTGCCAACTAGTGACTTAAACTGTATAATAACACTATTTACACACCCAGAACAATTCCTGCTATGCTTGTATTACTGCCCTCTACAGCCCTGGATCTCGCATTGAATCAACACATCCCCAATAATATCTGCAGTCATTTTCGTTTTATTGCTAGACTGCACTGAGTATCACATAGCATTTCTGACTGTTACCTAGTAATAATGTGCAGAAGAAATAAACTAGAAATGAGCAAACCCCGGTCTTTTGTTGAGGAGAGAGAAGACTCCTCAACAGCTGACTACCTTCTGCGTGAATCAACACTGCTGCCAGATGGAGCACCTTAGTTATCGCTGTTTTGTTATTAGGTTGAAATAAGCTGTCAAAGTCTATTTGCCTCCTACCGCGTAAAAGCCAAGGAATGGACAGACTACTTTCCACTGCTGAGCTGACATACCTCAACATCTCGGAGCCGCAGGAAAAGAATGTGCTCTCCTAAAATCAACGTGGATTTATTCTTGTGGGTTGATTAAAGAATGCTTAGCTTACTATTTCCATAGTTTCAGTTTGTACACCTTGAAAGTGCATTTGGGGGGAGGAAATGCAATGCTGGGTGAAGGACATCACAAAGTTGTGTTGTTTGCAGTAAGGAAAAAAAAGTTCTCTGAGTCTCCACGTTATGAGGAGTTCGCCTCTGAATTTGCTCCAGATGCTGGGGAATGCTGTTGCCTCCATACCCTGTTCGAAAGCCTTGGGCTAATTACAAATGGAAACAGACTGCTGGGCAAGATGAACCCTTTCTTCAGGGTAGGAACCTAATCTTCCCCTCTGTCCATTGGTTGTTTGCTGTGATTGGCAGTGGCTCTCTGGGTTCTCAGGCAGAGGTCCTTCCCATCGCATGCTATGTAATCTATTGGGTTGTGTCTAATGATGGTTCTACTCAGAATAGGCCCATTGAAATCGATGAGCCATAGTCATGTCTATTAAGTTTAATGGGTCTAATTTGAGTTGTTGTTTAGTCGTTTAGTCGTGTCTGACTCTTCGTGACCCCATGGACCAGAGTACACCAGGAACTTCTGTCTTCCACTGCCACTACTTTCACCACCTTGAGTACAATCCCTCAACAGGAAATGCCTTCCTTGTGAAAGCTGCAGGTCAGACAGGCATGCCTGAACAGACATTTTCACAGAAAGAGTCTGAAGAACTGCAGCTAATCATGGAGGCAAGAGGTGTAGTATTAGGCCTGACAGACAAATTAAAAACGTAACAAAAACGCACCTATGTTTTGATCTAGTAGCAATTGTCTGCAAAAATCATTCACAATTTCTCTCTCTCTCTCTCTCTCTCTCTTTTGGTCACAAATGCCAGAGGATATAGAGGGTGACTGTGACTTGGCCTGGCAAGTGGTGGCTTGCTTTGATTTAGAATGCTCCGAAGAATAAATCTAGCTTTTCCTCCTCTATCACTTTGGAGATGTATCACAAAGATAAATCTGTTAGGCTAAGATTTGCAGGGTAGAACTGAAGAGCCCCCTCCTTAGTGGGGAAATTGGTTTCAAGTCAGAGAATGCTCCTCCTTGACTTCGCTCTCGCCGATAGCCACCTGGCCCCAATATGTCTCTGCTTATACAGTTCCTCTTTAAATAAATATAGTTGCCACAACGATGCTTGGAATTCTCTTGCGTTGCCAACAGAGCTGCTTTATTTTTGGACCATCACAGAGTGCACAAAAGCTGACATCTCAGGTCTCTGGATTTTCTGGCAGCAGGGATTTGAATCCCAGGACCTCCTCTGAAAAGGCTGTTCATCAGATTCGCAGAGGACGTGAAGGGGAGAAATGGGCTTTCAGGAACGTTGATGTAAGATGAACTTTAGGTGAACTTCAGGAGCTCCATAACTACAGGAACAGAAACGACTGAGAAAACACTGTCTTACAAAGTCCCTTAGAGGTCCCCACTCCTCCAAGAAGCCTATCTATTCATCTGGTACAGGTACAGCAGTTTCCAAAGGTATTCATGGAGGCACAGCCCCTTTATGGACCACAACAGTATTGTGAGATGTCCAGGCTAATGGGACAAAAGAGAATCATGTTGGCCACACCCCACATCCCTCAGAAAACTGGATTCATGCTGGTATGCAGAATTGCCAAGGCACTGGCCCTTCCTCTGTGTTTTTGTTTGTTTTGTTTTATAATATTATTCTCTAACTCACTGAGGGTTTGAGACTCATTGGCTACCGTCACCTGGTTTAGCCGGCCAGTCAAAGCCATTCCTGGGGTGTGCTCGCTGTCGCATGCTGACAAGCTTCTAGGAGCCACAAAGTGAGAGGTGAGTGCATAGTGGGATCCAAAGGTGTACAAACTATCCTGGAAGGAGCATGACATGTGTCACGCCAGAGATACTACCCCTGCATGCAAAGACTGAGGCTCCAGCAGATTGAGCAGACGAGGCCAATAGCGGGTCAAGCAGTCAAGAAGGCGGTTTTTGCATGGACGCCTCCTTCTGGCAACTCATGCAGCCAAGCTGGTACCAAACATATTGCTCTGCTTTCCTTTGGGCCACATTAGTGAGGCCAAGAGGAGAGTCTAGTCATCTGGGCAGCCCAGGACCTCCACACACACACACTGCCCAGCCCCGTGCCCCTGGGAGGTCACTTTGGTGCTGCTAAGACAGCAGTTTGACTTCACCCCCGGAGGTGAACTCCATTGTCTCTCGATGATGGTTGCCAACAACATCATGATCTATCATTTTATTTTTATTTCTTATTTCATTTTATAACCATAATTTGAGGGGTTTTGGGGGTAGTGGTTGTTGTTGTTTACAATACATTGGTGTATAAATTTTACGAAATAAATAAATGAATGATCAGAATATCTGATACCGAAGCATCAGTACAATAACACCCTAGTCTTACCCTTATGCAGGATTATTTCTTTGTTGTGTTTACTTTTACCCTTAAGCATCCTCTTCCTGCCAACTTTGGAAACTTGTCTGCTTTCTGCTGCCCTTCCAATTACTGTAGCACTGTTTTCTCATCTTACTTTTTGTCCACCCCCAATTCCTACAAATTCAGTGGGAAACTTTAACCAACACTTCAGAACAGCACTAGTTACAGCTTTCCAGAAACTGGAGCAATAGTAACAGTTAATGAATCACATAATAAACTACCATAAATCAGAGCCGTAGATATGGGGGCGGGGGGGGGGGCTAGCTGGTTTTTTTGTCCCGGGTAAAGCCTCCAGAGGGGCACCATTGAGGCTCCCAGACTGTGTGTGTGTGTGCAGAAATGTTTGTGGGGTGTGTGAAACTGGGGCTTTGGACCACAGGCGAAATAAAGCCTAGTTTTGCCCCTGCATAAACACAAAAAAGTGTTTTTTGGTATATCCTAGGAAATGCAGTCACCAATGAATCCCTACAGAAAGAAAACCAAAACTTTAAATAATTTTTTATAATATGCAGGGAAATCTGTCTGAATAATCAGCGAAAAGCAATAATTAAAATCAAAATAAGGTTACATTTCATTATAATAAAAAGGTAGTGGGATATATAAAAAAAGATATAAAATCTTTTCTGTGTCTACACTTATAAAACAGAACATCCTCTCATTGATCAACTGTTAAGTTAATTGTTGAGAAGCTACAAGGACAGCAGTGGGCCATCTAAGGACATCTAACATGTTTTAAAATATTCATTAACAATATGGAAAGGCTGTGAAAGGTAGAGTGGCAACATTTATTATTCATATCAAGTGCCTTGCTAACCATATCAGCCTTAGAAAATAGGAAAGAGAAGAAACAACAGTACAATTTTTAATTTGGATAACTATCCTTTAAAACTAGACTATCCAGCTTATCTTAAAAAATAGGGATGGGGAACCTTTTGCAGCTCAAGGGCCGTATTCCCTTCTGGGTGACCTTCTGGAGGCCACATACTAGCAGTGGGTGGTGCCAGAGACAAAGGTGGACAGAGGCATCAGTGCAAAAAATTTCTTTCTAAAGTAGGCTAGTGTATAAATGCAGAGACACACACCTGTTTATCCTCCATCTAGACAAACAAATGACATCTTTGGAGCTCAGGGACACATGACAGCAGCCAAAAACCCATAAGGAGGGTGCAAAGCCAGTCAGTGACCTGACCTGGGGAGAGTCTTGGGGGCCAGATAGAGAAAACTGGAGGGCCACATTTGACCCCTGGACCCGAGGTTCCCCTTCCCTGCTTCTAAAAGTACTGAAAGCAAATGTTATATGAGAACCTGTGCAAACGCCCTGAGCAGCAGCTGTGAAAAAAAAGAGAGGCAAATGCCATCTTAGGGGTCATTAGGAAAGGAACTGAAAATAGAATTGCCAATGACATAATGTCATTATGCAAATCTGTGGTGCTCCCTCACTTGGAATACTGCGAACAGTTCAGAAAGGATATTGCAGAGTTGGGAAAGGTTCAGAAAAGGACCAACTCCCCCATGAGGAATATGAGTATTACTAGCTAAGTATTGAAAAGCATCTGATTTCTTGCGGTTTTTACTCTTTGCAGCAGTCGGATTAATTTCCATAGTGAAGAAAGCATAGCCATGTGCAGATAGTGCCAAAATGTCACTGGACTTCCTTGTACAGTGTATCTGGGTGGATTCTGGAGTTTCCCGTCGCTGTTCTGTTATTGTAATAAAGCCTTTGTCTAGCTTGTTGTCTGGTGTCTCTGGTAAGCCATCCATGATACCTCATAATGTATGAGTGTATTTTCCACTCCAGGCTCATGTCTCATGAAGCTACCATTACTTTCGTCTTCTAGCTGTACAAGCCTTGCATAACAACACCACCACCGTCCAAACATATGGGAAA